TCCCGGCTCTTTAATCGGGCGCTCTTTCCTGCTACCCTCTCCTTTCTGCTCCCCCTCGTAGTCGGGCCCTTTTCCATGTCTTGTGCACTCTACTGGTCCCTGCTGTTACCTCCCTCCGCTGGGATCCTCGCTCTCCCCCTCTCGCTCCCCTCCTCGTTTCACCTCTACGTTTTGTTCCCCCTCTCCACCATTGGGGGTTATGGGTTGCCCTTTGCCCGAAATCTGTGCACCCCCCCCCTCTTCCAAAGTCTGCTTCTTCCTGCGTGGGTCCTTGTGAACGTTTTTGATGGTCCTCTGTTCTCTGGGCGTTTTCAACTTTGTGCAACTTATTGCAGCCACGTGCCTGTGCCCTTTTGCCGTCACGCGCTTTCTGCACCTTTTTCCCTCACGTTCCCATATTTTTGGTCCTTCATGATCCCCTTTGCCACACATCCCCCACCACTGTTTTCTCAGTTGCTCTTCCTAAAATATTAGTTGCTCACGTCGGCAACTTAAACTTGCAGTCTGTGTCTTCCCAACATATTTCTTTCCCTTTTCCCCTCCTCCCTATTTTGGCCAAACGCGAAACGCCGGGTCCTCTCCTATTTGCGTGCTCACCCAGCGCTGGGCCGAAGCGTTTCCCCTGCTACTCCATTTTTCTCTCTAAGGGCTCTCTATCTTGCTCCCTCCCAATGAGCCTTCACTCTGTGTCTTGGTTAGGCCGTCAATTTGGGGGGGTCTGGCTCGGCCTGCCTCAACGCACTTACGCTCACACCAACGCCTAACACTCGTTTACGTACCATTTCTTTTTATTTTCTTTTTCTGTTTTCATTTCTAGTTTCGCTACACCCAAACAAAATCTCTTGCTGCGTACAACGTTAGGTGCTCAACTTGTGCACACTGCCAGTAGATTACATCCTTAAACAGTCACTTGTTAAAATAACCTATTCAATAAACACACGCGGCGTGAGTGTTAATGAAAACTTAGCCTTAATAGCTAGTTGTATCGATGAATTTTTTATGATATGCTTGTGGCTCTTCTAATCGATTATTACCCCTTAATCATAGTATTCACCAGGGGTGTTGCGCATCCATCTGCGATTATTTGTGTATGATAACGAGCTAAATTTCTCATATTATGACGCATCTTGCCATAAACAGGCAGTAGCTTATTGTTCTCTCATCACTGCGACAATTATATGTATTTACATTTAATATGGCTCGACACACGCGCGGGTCTTCCCGTTACTTTCTTCTTAGCTGCTTCTTCCAGATGCAAGATAGAGTGTCAGTAATGAATGTCGCATTTGGGTAGACTCTGAGGTATTGAGATGTCAAATATGCTAGCGAGTTGACGAGTGCAGGACGCTGTGATGAGTCATACTTATTTTGTCTTTTGGGATCTGTTGTAACACAACATTGAGGTGCCGTCCATAATGGATAGATGAACGTTTGCGGACTTAATCTATGTGAATAAGTATACTTTATGTGCCGTTTAAGTCTACATTACTTATGTGCCACGTCGATAGATTAAGCATGGAGATGCGTGATGCTGGATACGGATTATATGAATCATGTAGCATGATCGAGGAATAATATATAGTCAGTTATAGGCAGTGCCACACGGGCTCGTTAATTCAAGCACTGTCATCAGCATAATATAAAATGAAGCGCGTAGAATTAAAACTAAGAGAATTTCATTCGAAATTCAATAGGGAATTTGTGTTTCTATCATATTCAGCTGCTAATGCGTTTTAAAAAGACAGAAGTGGCAACGTGACAAAGGGCTTCGCGTAAAATCGAAAGGTTCACTAGCTAATTTGTTATAACTTTATTAAACTATCTATTCAACGTTGCTACCGTCGCACATTTAATCATGCTTTTCACTACGCGTAAACGAAAACCTCACGGTTTGTAGGTTGTGACTAGTGGTTTGTCTAAGCTATGCGAATAGCGTATAGGCGCAAATGGCACGCACTATTGATAATGCGATTTATCGCGCTCATTCATACTCTTCCTCGCGTTACATCTTCATAAATAACTGTAAAGTTTTCGTCTTGAGTGTAGAAACTACTCAAAGACGACGTTACAAATGAGGTCTTATTCTGAGATGTCCAACTTATTCGTTGTCCTGTAAAACACACTGTTAGGAAACCCGATATTCTACAATTTGACTGCATTTCTCGCGTAATATTTACCATTTTATCTCATAGACCATTGTAGAACCCGCTTTAATACCCAGTCACTATATAATTCCACCTGGCATAACACAATAGCACAGCTGAATCGAATTACTGTGTGTATTCTTAAAGCTGATGTGTCGCGACATCAAACATTACATCGACTACCATACGCTGAATTCTGGTTGGGAGCTTTGGTTTATTAAGCTCCCAGCAAAGAGTCCCAAAAATAACATTCCATCGCACGTTGTGAGATACCGCTTAGGACTAGTTTCCAAGCCGTTTTCATACACGCGGCTAAATCTAGTCAAAACAAGGAAAAACTAGTCCAAAGCGATAAAATTTTGGATTCACAAATGTGCGTGATTGCAATAACCTGGATGCTATCCAAGTAAGTAAAGAACATGTTAGCCGTAACGTTTCCTTTATTGATACAGGCTCGGGAATGTCTCTGGCATGTTAACAGAACAAACCTTTCGACACAGAGAGCTGCTAGTCTAGTTACTTACTATGACTAACTATCTACTATGATACACTAGCGTCACCGCGAATCATGTTATCTGTGAAATAGAGACTTAGCTCCACGATATCAGCGCTCCGTAATTACAAATAATCTAAGCTACAATGAAAGTTAATTTACGGCGAGCACTTGATCGATGTGCCGGCCAGCGTGATTAGTACTGACCGGCCCCACATGCGCTTGTCCCATGACTCGAAGTAGCCACGAACGTGTCGGCTCGTGACCTTGCTTGTCTCGAAGAAGACGCAGTCTTCATTCCTTGGCGCGCGCGTTGGCTCTGCGTCTATATATTTGCTAGGCGAGAGAAATGGTTTCTGTTAGTTCGTAGGCAAGGGATGCGAACTGCTGTACGACGACAGGCTATATATATATATATATATATATATATATATTATATATAATATATATGTATATATATATATATTATATATATATATATATATATATGTATATATATATATATTTATATATTTATATATATATTACGACATATATGATTCATTTGCTTTAGTTGTCCCATTGTCGCACACTTCAAACGTGAAAACTGGGTAATAAATAGCTGCATTATATAGTTTGGAACGGTGTGAATTCGTGACGACATGTCTTGTCCCGTCATCCCGACACAAAGGTCTGTAGTAATGTTCTAGTGACCACAACGCAGGTAATGGCTTTAATTGGATGTTCATACCACGCCTTCTTTATTCAGGTGGATATTGGTCACCGCTTACATAAGATAAACAATGTAACAGTGATACCTACCACACCCAGATCATATCCCTTCTTTCGTTCCTCGTTGGTGGATCCCTTGCCAACCCATATGTAGATCTGCGACCAAGGTGTCGAGAGATTAAATAAAGAATGAGCAAACATAATAGTTAATATAACAAACTATAACGATTTATAATTATAAGTCGTTAAGCCATAGGGATGGTGAAATGGGCTGTAAGAAGAAATCGCAGCGCACGCATTTTACAATGACAGAGGGAGACGAGTCGATGTAACATCAACATTACCTCGTCTGCTCCACTGTCCAGAATCATGACGTCATCACCATCAAGATCCTGCGAAAAGAAATCGTGGTTTGAGTAAGGAAAGTAAAATTTTCTCGAACATTATAGAGGACGAGCATGGTCACTAATGTTAGCCATTTACAGACAACATGCATACTACATGTATCTATAAACGATGCAATAGAAGTCACGCACACACCTAGAAGGCAATTATTATATCGATAAGTAAGACCACAATTCGAATCAGTATCGTTCTTCCAAGACCTCCAACAATTAGCGACCGAATATTGAACGTCATCAGCGGAATCTGGCAGGAGCTGGACGCCACAATTAGAAGCAGATAGAGATTCGCCCGGGGCCATACGTACAGTGTCAAGGAACTACTCGCCTCGTAGAGGTTGCACCTCTGACGCCACACGTTGCCTGCCCTCAATATCACACCCACGCTCACGTCTTGGCATCGGTCTTACTCCTTACTTTACCTTTACCTTTACTCCTTACTTTACACTTACTTTACCTTTACCCTTACTCCTTACTTTACCCGTACTTTACCTTTACCCTTACTCCTTACTTTACCCTTACTTTATCTTTACCCTTACTTTACCTTTACCTTTAACCATACTCCTTACTTTACCCTTACTTTACCTTTACCATTTCAGCATAAACCCAAAAAAATCTCTTGCTCGCGTACGTTGGTGCTAATTGTGCCCACACGCATCTCCATGCTAAACTATCAACGGCACGTGTAGCAAAACGTACATAAAGAACTTACCTAATATTAATCCCAATGTATAAGGCGCTACATGTTGTGTATAACGACTAAAATAAAAATTATGACGACCACAACGTGCAAGTAGCACTATTGATCGAAAATTATAGTCACAAAAAGCGACACACACACAGAGAAGAAGAGGAAGAAGAAATGTAACCGGGGAGAGACCCGCGCGAGAAGTAAAAAATCAGCGAGTGAGAGATAGAATGATGAGGAGCTAGTATGAGATTGAAACCTGGTGATGGTAAGGATGCGGAAGCCAAATTTCAATACTACTAAGGCTAAGTTATTATTACCAAATCACCTGGATAGGTATAATATGTAGATGATCGAGGCATAAATATATCGTCAGTTATAGGCAGTGCACACGGGCTCGTTAATTCAAGCACCTGTCATCAACATAATATAAAATGAAGCGCGATAGAATTACAAACTAAGAAGAATTTCATTCGAAATTCAATAGGGAATTTGTGTTTCTACTCATATTCAGCTGCTAATGCGTTTTAAAAAGACAGAAGTGCAAACGTGACAAAGGGCTTCGCGTAAAATCGAAAAGGTTAACTAGCTAATTTGTATCAACTTTATTAAACTATCTATCAACGTTGCTACCGTCGCACATTTAATCATGCTTTTCACTACGCGTAAACGAAAACCTCACGGTTTGTAGCTTGTGACTATAGTGGTTTGTCTAAGCTATGCGAATAGCGTATAGCGCAAACTGCACGCACTTTGATAAATGCGATTTATCGGCTCATTCATACTCTTCCTCGCGTTACATCTTCATAAATAACTTGTAAAGTTTTCGTCTTGAGTGTAGAAACTACTCAAAGACGACGTTACAAAATGAGGTCTTATTCCTGAGATGTCCAACTTATTCCTTGTCCTGTAAAACACAAACCTGTTAGGAAACCCGATATTCTACAATTTGACTGCAATTTCTCGCGTAATATTTACCATTTTATCTCATAGACCATTGTAGAAACCCGCTTTAATACCCAGTCACTATATAATTCCACCTGGCATAACACAATAGCACACTGAATCGAATTACTGTGTGTATTCTTAAAGCTGATGTGTCGCGACATCAAACATTGACATCGACTACCTACGCATGAATTCTGGTTGGGAGCTTTGGTTTATTAAAGCTCCCAGCAAAGAGTCCCAAAAATAACATTCCATCGCACGGTTGTGAGATACCTTAGACTAGTTCCAAGCCGTTTCATACACGCGGCCTAAATCTATCACAACAAGGAAAAACTAGTCCAAACGATAAAATCTTGGGATTCACAAATGTGCGTGATGCAATAACCTGGATGCTATCCAAGTAAGTAAAGACATGTTAGCCGTAACGTTTCCTTTATTGATACAGGCTCGGGAATGTCTCTGGCATGTTAACAGAACAAACCTTTCGACCACAGAGAGCTGCTAGTCTAGTTACTACTATGACTAACTATCTACTATGATACACTAGCGTCACGCGAATCATGTTATCTGTGAAATAGAGACTTAGCTCCACGATATCACGCTCCGTAATTACAAATAATCTAAGCTACAATGAAAGTTAATTTACGGCGAGCACTTGATCGAATGTAGCCGGCCACGTGATTAGATACTGACCCCCCACATGCGCTTGTCCCATGACTCGAAGTAGCCAACGAACGTGTCCGGCTCGTGACCTTGCTTGATCTCGAAGAAGACGCAGTCTTCATCCTTGCGCCGCGTTGGCTCTGCTCTTATATATTGCTACGCGAGGAGAAATGGTTCTGTTAGTTCGTAGCAAGGGATGCGAAATACACTGTGAGCTTACATTGTGAGGCTCTATTGTGAGGCTCTACTGCCGAAGCTGCTTCTCAGCCTCGCCACGGCCATCTTTGTGAAATATTGAGCTCTCTGAGAGCCTAATTAGCCGTAGCGATCTACATCTGAATAATTTATCATATAAATCCCTGCATAACATGGCCGCCGACTACTCATACAATTATCTGGTGGTACACGCAGAGCAGCGCTGTCAGATGCCGAGATCTGAACGGATGACGACGAAACGCCAAATGTAAATAAAACGACGTTATTTCCATCGATAAGGATCAAGTTGGGTCAAAATCTTGGTTCTCATCACATACAATAATCTCTGAATAGACATTTTAAAACATATCCAAAATAAATCACTCTTAACAGTTAATAGAGCCGGATGCAAAACTCTTACGTTATCTACAAATTGATGTCAGTGTTGAATTTCGTGCCACATAACCACATCATTCTTCACGGAGCCAGGTGTGAGTTAATGGTAATTACTTCCCCGATCAATAGCACTTCAAACCATTTATAATAACCTGTAATTTTTATTTAGCATTCTAATTAATAGCCTATAAGTTACACAAATAAACTACGAAATGATGATATTCTAGGTTATTTTTCTTGTGTGCAAAACAGATATAATTTTCACAAATTATTTGTTTTTGAAAAACAACTCGATATTTTACTAACAATAATGCATCTTAGGATGCATGTACACTGAAATGAGGCATAGAATTATATGTTGTTAGGATGTAAAACTAATAAAACCAAAGAATTCTGCTTGATGCAAGGCAAAGTAGAATAATGTTGTCGTGAAATAGTACTATTTTCCAGTTTTTCCGTTGTACACTCTAGGTATTATTAGCTCTTGCTTATATATACCAGTGTGTGTTTACATGCATGCCTACGTGCGAATGTACATTCCAATATGCCAGTGCAATCGTGCGTACATGATGCGTGCGTGTGCTTGCATGCCTATATAATTATATATAGATATGAGTGAGTGCGTATATGAGTGTGTATGCACTATGCATGCGTGATTGCGTTGCTGTACATGTTTGAGTGTGCACGTGTATCGATGCACGTGTATTCGTGCATGGGGTACTACATGTACGGCATACTCTATAATCCTATCAGCGACTGCTCAGTGCAATCAGCTTCTTTAATATCGTGCTGAGAATTGTACCGAGAACGGATATTGCCGGCAGATCTAAAATCAATATATATATCCAGAAGAAACATCGAGTGAAGCCTGCTCATCTTGGCTGCATCCCTTGAGCATCCTGTATGTGCTGACAAAATTACATATCCTACACCTTCTCTGTTTACACATAAATCGATGTTATTAAGAAAGCATGCCTATCTGCATCATGCGCAGTGCAGCGGCGTTTGGCCATCGACAGCGTGCGTCATCGCCATTCCCAGCATGCAGTCAAGCACGTGTGTACTCTCTGCTAGAAGGATGCCGAACGGCTGGAACTCACCGCATCGGGAAGCAAGGAGAGAATCGCTTCTTTGATCGCATTCCTCAGGCTGGAGAAATCGCCCACGCTGGCCAGTTGTAGGGCTGCTTCCTGCACGCAGAAAATAAGTGTGCCAGTGATTAATATAGACATGAAGCTCTATCGCGAGCTCCTGAGTGCACACGCGAGATGAAGACTGCATGCATGCACGTACGTCAATTTGGCCGGGCTCAACGACTGTACAACCATGTAACAGTTTGTGAATGGTCGATACGACACACATCCTAGCTCGACAACAATCATCAAATTTCGAAAATTACAATTTAGAATCCAAATTGGAGAACTCGGGTAATTATAATAACCACATTACAACCGTTGAACCGATTCGCTAAATGCAGCATTTCTGACGGATTTTTTTTAAAGAAACTTCATTCCTAAGAACACATTGAACATCTTTTGAAAATAGTAATGGTCTCGGAATTCACCGTATAATCAGCAAATTATTAGCAGCAAAACTAGCAAACTCATATATCTGCCTTGCATACAGCAGAAAATTATAGGCATTGAATGGGCAGAGAATACGCATGACGCATCAATTGATTTTAGCAAAATTGTATATGGTGATACGTATTGTGTCATAAGTATATAGCAGTGCGCGAAATTAGCACCATTTTGCCGGCGGCCACCTGTTCAACCCCCATATAATCAGGAGTTAATAATGACAAATAATTTGTCATTATTAACTCCTGATATAATCAGTCCACTTGAATGATAATGAGCCAATATTATTTCAATAGAAATTGAAATCTACTTGGTTTTAGTCTTTCATTATCATAACAGAGTTTTCCCAGGATTATCAGAGGATTTTGTTCAGAGTTGTACCAATTGTAGTGAAATTACACATGTCATAAGCAACCCAAATACACAGGTAAACTCGATCAGATTGGAGACGTATACATCAGCTGTGAAACCCCACTATGACTGTGCTAGGATTATCAAAAGTAAACACAGCAGGAGCCAAAGGCAATTTTAAGGCATGTCTGAAGATTTATGCAATGTCACAGATTAGCTATATTATTAAAGGCATGGGAAGAGCCTGCAGAAGAAACATCAATGTAGGATTTGTAGGATCTATTTTCTGCTGACAATCTTAAATTTTGATGCTAAAAAATCCTTGCCAATTTCTTAAAAATAATAAATTTACATTTAAATTTTCTAATTACATTTCTTAACTAGCATTTGAGCTTCCAACTTTAATTACTATTCTGATAATGATGAGTACACATTTCTTGCTGGCAGATCAGCTCATTATATTTCACAATAGATATCTAAACGAGTACATCCACATGCACACATAGCAAGAAATTGTTTAGCTCCTGGAAACGTTTTTTGGTGTGCTCTATGACATACAGTAAAATACAAGGATTCATAAGATAGCAGCCAATGAATTATGAGCGGAGCACAGTCTAATGATATTATAGTGAAACGTTTGGTATTACGATTACGGTGCTTAATAGATCAGTGAGGCAGCAGTGCTGATGAAAGGATGCTAACCGGGAAGCCATTAAATAGGATTTTCATTCAGATTGTCACAACGACAGGATTGCCTGTTAGTTACTCGTACTTCTGCCATCATTCGAATAAGATACAAATGGGGATTTAACAGCTTTGATCTGGATTTCGATTTAGGTTACGAATCAAGTTACAGTGATGGTGTACTAAAAACTTTATGTATCAGTCACTAACTATAAAATGATAGTGAAATATGCAACTATTTACCACTTTCATGCCAGAAAGTCGAAGAAAGGCCTTGAAATCGGCTTTCAAAGCTTAATTGTTATTTTTCAAAACCAGTTATTGTCCTACACAACACGTATAAAATGTCAACCTCTAAGAACGGCTGTGGCGTAGTATCGGATTTCAATGTTGCCATACTAGTAGTAAGGTCTCAGCTACTCAGTTATAAGGATGCAACTTAATTTCCTGCATTTGCAAACAAGTTTAACCCACTGATGTTATTTTTACAGAAGGGTAACTGTTACTAAACACAGCCCAAGATTAATGTTAATAATTTAGTCAGCATTTACCGATGCCTTTCAAAACATTAACATATATTCTGGTATTAATGTCTACATTACTATAAGATAATTGATCTGCATTCCCAGGTGAAGGAAATGGTGTGCGGTGTAGTAGGTGTTTATTTAATAATTTTGCATTTCACTATTTTATTATAGATGGTGTTAGATAAGTTTATCAAGCAAGAGTTTCAGTTTAGTTATGGTAAGAGATGCACAGCGAGTGCTAGATAAGATGGTCTACTTGTTTGTCACTGTGGTAAAAGGGATAAACTCATACAGCGAGTATACATAGTAGGCCTAAACCCAAATTCTAAGCTAACATTTTTAAGGACATCTTGTACACATGGTTGACTTATAAGTGACAGTATATATATGGTCATCTTGTTTATACACACGTTTTACCATCATATATGCATAAAGTACACCTGAGCATACATTTCGTGTAATTTCTTTGCTTAGGATATTAGGCCAGTAAGCAGCATAAGAATGATATACACACACCCACACAAGCACACACATACATATGCACGTAAGGATGCTAGCAGGGGGGCTCAGCTAACCTTATTACTGACATTCCTAAGCTTCTGTGTGGATTTCTGATATATCATTAAGATTTTTATGTTTGCTCAATCATGGATAAAGTTTCCTCCCATTATAGGGCCCAGTGGGGTTACACTGTAAAAAATACATACAAACTGAGAACCTACAACAGTTGAGCAGGTATTATAAGGGTTTTATGATAGAATACACTATTTGCTAAATATATTAACAGTTCGATAAAAGATTTCTGTGGTTGTTGCGCCTCCACCAATCACTCCACTCTAAATTGGCACCTGTTCTAATTTCAAGTTCAAGTTCAAGACGTTTACTTACAGTTTTAAGTCCAAAATAGTATTGTAGGTACACCATACAAAAAATTGCAAAGGAGGGTCTACATCATGATCCATCTACCATGTACTAATATTACAATGATGTACATAGTAATGTTCCAGCATGCATCAATAAGAGTAAAGTCAGTGTCCGTGCAAGTGCAGTTTGTCTCCCTTTTTTCATACACCTATTATATAAGCAAGGGGATTGTTTTCTGTTTATTTTCTAGCTCAATGTTTTTAATGACATGCATTTGAAAGCAGTGACCTAGGCCACAGGCACTTGGGACAGAGTCAGTAAAAACTGAAAATAATATGAACGCACATTCACAAATAGGCCCTACTACCGTACCTCTCAATTACAGTTCCACTGTTGTGTCACTGTACATCAACTTTCCTTCATAAAAACTAACGCCGAACGCTCCCGCACTTGCCGCTGCGAGTGTGCTGTGTCGCCATGATAATAATATATAAAGTTGTAAGTATAATAAGTACTTTATATATATCATGGCGACACAGCACACTCGCAGCAGCGAGTGCGGGA